AATACTTGAAGTATTTAACCAGTAACCAGTGTGTGTGTGTGTGTGTGTGTGTGTGTGTGTGTGTGTGTGTGTGTGTGTGTGTGTGTGTGTGTGTGTGTGTGTGTGTGTGTGCACATGCACACGCACATGTGCATTTTTATTTGCTAAGTCTGGGATAAAAAGGGATGGCATCTTCCATTGTTTACCTCATTTCATACATCTCCTAGGCTAGCTTCATTTTATTTATTGTATTGTATTTTACAATGTGACCTGTGAGTTGTGCCTTACTTGTTGGACGTTCAGCACAGATCAGATTCTGAGAGGAAGAAGTACTCCTTGGGGGCGGATGGCTAATATAATGACCTCAGAACAATTAACTTGGAGAAAATTGTGTACAATTAAATTTTCTCTCTGTTCTAGGAGCCATAAACACATTACACTACACAAATCTCCGAAGGTCCACGGGGAAGGTGTCGTCTGTGAGTTCACACTGCTGCCTCCCTGGTACCTTGCCCCAAGGGACCTTGTCCCGTAAGTGAAACTTGGTGATCAAGTTTAAAACTTTATTGTTACTTATTTCACTCAAAGCTAGAATTCCCCAGAGGCGATTCCAAGAGCCCTGAGTCTAACATAACCTTCCCCAAGAAAAGGGTCTCACCATCCTGTCCATTTGGGGAAGGATCAGATGTGGCACCATGTGCTCCATGAAGTTAAGGGCTCTGAGAAGCCCCACAGACCATTCATCCAGCAAATAATGGCAGTCCATGTAGGTTTCCACTATGCTCAACATTGGATGGAGATTCTATTTTTCTTCAAATGGGACCATAAACAGCACAACAATGAAGGCTGTCCATCATTTCACTTCTCTCTCAGTACACTGGGAAATACACTGGGAAACCTTGATTGTCAGTATTTATTTTTTATTTCTCTCAAATCTCTCATAAAAATTAGTATCCAGACCAGGCACTAGTGGCTCATGCTGTAATCCTAGCTACTCAGGAGGCTGAGATCTGAGGATCACAGTTCAAAGCCAGCATGGGCAAGGAAAGTCCATGAGACTCTTATCGCCAATTAACCACCAGAAAACTGGAAGTGGTGCTGTGGCTCAAGTGGTAGAGCGCTAGCCTTGAGCTAAAGAGCTGAGGGACAGTGCCCAGGCCCAGAGTTTAAGCCCCACAACCGCCAAAATTTAAACATGGCAAAATTTAAACATTTTATAAATCAACTAACTAAAAATTCGTGAATTACCATCTCGGGTCAAGTTATTTGGCCTATTTCCAAATGTTTGAGATGAAAACCCTTCACTGATGTTGCTTACAAAGATAAGATCCCCGACTTATACAGAGTCCTTCTATTTAACTTCAAGTGCCAAGTCAAAAATTCCAAATAAACTAAATGAACATCAGGTAAAGCAGTGAGTTGCTCTGAAGGGCACATAGCAACGATACCAACACACCACCGACTCCAACTGTCTTAAGGAGCCCATAGAAGGCCGTGGTCACTACAAGGTATGGCGAGCTGACATTTATGAGGTTCTTTGGTGGTGACAGGCCCTTTTCTACTTTGATAGGCTCTAATAGATGCCATCCCCAAAGGCACAGTCCCCAGAGATATCATTATAAAGCAGAACTAAATTTCCCTGTGTGTCCAACTTCTGTA